TGGGAACACATAACAAACTATTCTAAAATAACTAGAATAACTATTATTCAAGACATAAAATATTTCTAAAAATATGAGGCAACAATCAAAATAATATTGAACTGTTTCGACTTTTTGGGAGAAAATTCAAGTTTCCTTTGGGTTTTATTGACTTCCTCCACTCATCTTCCTTTTTTGTTTTAGGGAAGCGGCGCAGAGGAAGACTCGGAGTCCGAGATGGAGGACGAAACATTCAACCCATCTGCTGACGAAGAAGAGGAGGAAGAGGAAGACAGCGACGAAGACTACAGCTCGGAGACAGAAGACTCTGGTACGATACTCCTGCTCCACGTTTTGGTCAAGGTTTGTCTCGCCACTATAAGGCACGGTTGAACTCAACTTCCTGTCTGGCTGCAGATTACAGTGCTTCAATGGGCAGCGAGGAGGAGAGCGGCAAAGACTGGGACGAGCTGGAGGAGGAGGCCAGGAAAGGTTCGTGTCTGCACCTGGTTTCCATGGAGATCACACTGGAAAAACACAAAATTTTACCAAGTAATTTCTGTCCAGTACATGTTCCACTGGCATATTATTTCACTTATTCCTTTTTTAAAGGAGAACTTATATGTAGCTATATCTTTTTGATCAATATATAAAAAAATGATTAAAACAAGCTCCTATACTTGAAAAGTTACTTGCAAGTTAGTTTTGTTTTATTTCAAGTCTATTAAGATATTTGCATTAAAAACTATACCAATATTACTTGGTAAGGTTTTGTGTTTGTGCAGTGTAGTTGCTTTTGGTTGTTAGTTATCTTTAGGTCAGGTTACAGTCTTTGAATATTTCCCTAACTTCCTGTGCTGTAATGACAGCAAAGATCAAAATCCTTTAAATCTTTACAACTTCTTTTAAACTTCAGGTAAATGAGATCTGTTTTCCAAATGAAGACTGTTTAGAGACACACCAAGATGGAGACTGTTGACCACAATCGGCCAGTTTTCACCTTGATCGACTTGTTGGACACTCAAAAATGGGGTCTGGTCACACTCTTCGGTGCGGTCACTGATACCGAGTAAAGAAGATTGTCTTATAGAATCAGAGATATCAGATATTTTTGCAAACAGCTGAGGCTGAAAATCGACAACGATTTCTGATTAATGCAGTATTGAAATATTGGTTGTTCTACTAACAAGATTACAAACCGTTTTCTGGGCTGAATGGTTAAAGAAAAGTAATTTGTGGCGTAATCCTGCGACTATTTTTAATCTTCCTCAGTCGTCGAGGTAATTGGTTTCTCCTTCCGTTCTGCAGCTGACAAAGAGAGCCACTATGAAGACGAGGACACTTCCAACAGGAAGAGGAAGGCACGCTCATCGGCCCCTCATAGTAGTAAAAAGAAGCGGCGGTCCTAAACTGACACACACTCTCACATACACACACACACACACTGCCAAACCCATTTTACCCTCCTGCCATTTTCCTTTTATTCCCTCCCTGGTTTTTTTTTTTTTTTACAAAAATCACACACACACACACACACACACACATTTTCAGACAAACAATCTGTACATATACGTAGAAGGTCTCCCCCCATTTTTCTTCGTCCCTTTTTTGGGGGGGGGTCTGTGAAGTTTCTTGTGACGATGAAAGAACCAGCAGTCACACTTCATTCTACAGCTTTTCATCATGTTCATTCCTGACTTACTCTGTTCTTCAGCCAGCTACTATTTTTGGTTTTGTGTGTGTGTGTGTGTGTGTGTGTGTGTGTTCATGGGTTTTTATTGCAAGTTGTTTTCTGTTTAAGATAAAATTGGTTTCTTAATATGATGGATAAATAATAAAAGATGGCCTGTCATCCCCTCTGCAAAGTGTTTTTATATGAAAACTGAGAAACCTGTGATTCTTCATCTCATTTTTTTCTCCTTTTTCCTCTTTATGAAAATGTGATAACAAGCAGGAGGATTCACCTTTCCTGATTGTTTTTGTTTTTCTAATGGGCTTTGTAAACTGATGTAGTTATGCACATACACACACACACACACACACCATCCTCCTCACACTTGTCCTACGTTTCCCTTTTTGTTGTATCAGAATAGATGTACTGTTGATTCTGAAAATCTGTTTTTTGTTTTTGTAATAAAATTAAAAGAAACTGTAGTTTGTTTCCATTGGGGTTTTCTTCAGCTTTTAAGGTATATAAATAGGATGAATTGGCCAAGAAGTATTGAGTTGTGTGTGATGGGGAATGAAGGGATCAGATTTGAGTCCACTTCTAGTTAATGTGAGGCTGATGGATGAGGTCAAGCAGGAAATGTCTGCCAGGAAGAGGGAAATTAATTATGACGTTTGCAGATGATATTGCGATTGTATTTTGAGTGGGGAGCCAGAAGAGAGCCTGAGATATTGAATGTGTGCTTGAATGAAAGATGGTGAAGCTAGTAACGAGAGAATAAGTATGAATACGGGACAGAGGTGGAACGGTATATCATCTGCATAGAGGTGGATTTAACTGCCTCAGATTAAAACATGGAGTGGAGATGGGTTTCAGGACAGTGGCAGCATACAAAAAATAAATCAATGTTAGTGTAATACAAGAATCTTAAAAATATTAAATCAAGATGTACAAATTTGGGGAAAATTAAAAGTACAAGACAATTTTTGGTTGCCTTGTTTTATGTCCAGGTGCTCTTGTAGGTCAGGCTCTTTCTAACACAGCTGGGTAATTTTATTGTTTAAATGCTATAATCTACAAAATAAGTCTGTAATATTTCAATGACACCCCAATTACACATATTAAATGTAAATAAAATTTAATTTGTACATATCGTAAAGATTCTTGACATAACAGATGAAATGGGTCCAAGTTTTCACCCTGACAAACACCAGCAGTAAAATCAAGGACGAATCTGTTCAGACCACTGATGACACGGTTCAAAACAAGGATGAGACATGCTCTGTAGCGGAATGGTAAGAACCTAGCTTCTTTTATTGTCTTAGGATTTTTCTACTTTAAATCTAAAATTAGGTGGTCAATGCTATGACAGTGACTTGCTTTTTCTAAACAACTTATTTTATGGTGTTGTAGCCTCATAGTTGCTGCCATTTCTTCCTTGAAAATGAGGTTTTTAATCTCGATGGTAATGTCTTTACCAGGTCAGCGGTTTAACTGCATCATAAAAATTATTTATCCTTAAATAGTTTCCGTCAATAGAAACGTGGCTTTGGGGGCGGTGGCGTATCAATCTTACTTCGGATGGAAAATGACGGGAAACGTCCGCCATTTTGTTGATGGCATTCAGCTCTCCACGCGCCGTATCACTCAGAACAAATCCGCGTTGTGTGGCGCCATCTACCGGCTCCACGCAGCGTCACAGTGGCCCAGCGAGCCATCCGAGAAAACCGCTGCTGTGAAGTTGAAGTCCATGTGGATAAAGGTGGGATTTTTATTTATTTATTTTCAGGAATACAAAGTAGGTGTTTCGTTGACTGCTGTAGAAATATTCTTACTTTTACATTACAAACATTTCCTGTAAGACTGAAGACTGTTTAGAAATTGTGAAATAGAATAAAAAAGTATTGGTACAAGACCGAACGTATCTGGAACGATCCAGCCAAATTTGAAATACCGTAATTCCGCGACACTTGGCGCTATCGGAAAAATTCCAACGGTTTCTAAAAGGGAAGACGTTGCGCTTTCCAGCCAATATTGGGTTATTACGGTAATTTCACCCTGTGAGATTCCTTGACTAATTGAGCAAATCAGACTATATTTTAAAAATAAAATTCTGGTGAGAATCACATCTTGTTGTTACAAATAGAAACTCAAGGCTATTGCAGTGAAAATAACAATTAAATGTTACATGTTTATCCTTAACCAAGAAACTCAAGCTCACATTTTGGCCCTAATAAACAGAATCAACTGTTTCATCTTAAAATAAGTAAACATGAAACTGGTGTAAACACCGCAAAATGTGAGGAGGTTCAAAGGTTACAAGTATTTCTGCAATACATTGGAGTGAAATGAATCATTCATGCTGTGCAAAAATGACTGATAGGTACCTAAAGTACAGAGGGTGTGTGCCCCAGCAGAATAAACCAGTTACACATGCTGCTGCATAAGTTTCATTTTATCTGAAAAGCATTTGAAAAAAGAGTTTCTTCTTCTATGAAACAGTATGATACCTTTTGTTCACCTGCTGTGAGAACATGTTTGTAATGTCCCCATGTACTTGCAGCTTGTGGTTTTACTGGAGGTTGTGTAAGACTTCCAAAGAATAAAAGAACATCTCAATTTCCTGGATACTCTTTAGAAAAATGTATGAAAACATATTAGTAAAATTATACCTGTGTACATCAACTTTCAGCCTCTGAGCTAATTCAGTTTTTTCTACTAGCTTTTCTCATCTAGTTTCAATTTTACAGCTGATATTTATTAGTCGGCTGTCATGTTATGTTGTACTAATTATCAGGTGCAACGACTTCCTGACTTGATTTATTGACAGCAGTGATTGTGAAATATTTGGGCATGATTGTAAAGAAAACATTTACACAGAATGGGCAACGCTTCTTTTCAAGCCTGGGTCTCTTCTAGAAGCATCTTTTACAAATTGGAATATTTAGTTACATATTTAGCAATAGTTTGAGAGTCGTTGATTTTGGTTTGCTGTAGTCAAAATGCAGCTTGACTCAGATAAGACAAATTCTTCAAATTTAATCTTGGATCAGGTTTTGTATAATAATAATAAAAAAAATGGATGTCACTGTGACATCCAAAAGAAACCAGCGTGAATAAAATTGAGACCCTTTGCTATAGAGGCTCAATCTTGCCTCAACTGAAAATAAGTTTCCTCTGATATTACCTCTTACAGCCTTTTTACTATTATTGCTTCACTGAGATGAGAGAAATCATCTGCCTTATCTGACTGTATGTATAGATATCTATATCAATATAAGACATATATCTAAATGTGTGTGTATATATATCTTAAAATATATACACACATTTTCTCTTAAAGCCTACTTTTACAGGAAAACAGAATCTGACCTTCACTTCTGAAGAAACACAACTTATGTTTTGTGCCATCTGATCTTTCAGGCGTGAGCTGATGACGTAGAACAGCTGATATATTTATTGTGAAGGCACAATGAAGAATGCCAACAATGTTACTCAGAGAAATACTATGATAAACAGGACAAAAGTATTCAAAAAATGGGGCGGGACTGTCATAGGTTGTAATAAATAGCCTCGTCTGAAGGTTCGGTCAGCTGCACACCTGCTGGAACTCTTAACAGGTAAGAAGATTAAATTGTGTGTTAATCTGTCTTTATGTAATGTTTGGAGAAAAAGAAACATAAATTTATTATTCATCTATTTCTTTAATTTTTAAGTTAAAATCTAGTTGAAATCCATTTTGACAGTTTTTAAAGATATTCACTGTTGCATCTTCTAAAACTGATTTGATTGTTAAACCTTTTTTGCTGGAGAAATTAATTTAATGTAAGATCAACTTGTTTGGTTAAATATGTTCTTTCATCATGAAAGAATCATGTTTACCACAAACAGTCAAACTAGTTTCACAGAAAATGTAGCTCATCATGACCCAGAATTATACAGTGTTACATTTCAGGAAACCAAACGAAGAGTTGTGACCGGTTTCTTTACGACTGTTTTGTGGTTCGAGTCGTCATAGAGACAAGGTCGTCTGGTTTAGGAACCTCTGGGTGTCATCTGTAATGTTTGCAGATGACACACAGTGCTTTATTCGGCATCTGCAACAAAGACGGCTCATTTCATTAAGCCAGAAACATACATTCAGTCTTACCTTCCATGTTTTATGGTCATAATCCGTGTCAGAGAGAATATTTCCACTTCACTCCTGAAATTTGTTTTCCGTGCATAGTCCATGTTGGCTATGTGATCTTGTAAACTTGTGAATATATATATATATATATATATATATATATATATATATATATATATATATATATATATATATATATATATATATATATATATAAAAGTTAGTGCAATTATTATTTGAGGAATGCATTTATAGTTTTAAAGTTTCTGACATTCTCTTTTCTAATTAAGGTATTGAAACGGCTGTGAATCGTTTATTAACAAGTGCAAAGAAGACATCTCTTCCATTTGGAGAGGCCACAATGGAAAGTAACTCAGGAGAAAGCGTGACCCCTGACCTCAGTGCAGAGACACCTGACGAACATTCAGTTCTTCTTCACAAACCACGCATTTCTGAATATGTGCGAAACCAGCCATTGTCCACCAACACAAAGCTGTTTTCAGTGTTGGCCTTGTTGAACGCACATGATCCGGAGTCCAAGCTGGACTTTCAAGACTGTCAACAAATCCTCGGACCGCCTGATCCCAGCCATGGAGAGCCTCCCTTTGAGGAAAGAATGGAGCCTTTTTCCTGCTTCATCACGGTGTCCAGTGAAGCCGTGCATGTGATAAACACAGATGTGGCCAAGAGCTGTTTGGAGCTATTAGCTGACCTGAACATTAGCAAAAATGTTATAGTGAAGGATTGCATAGAATTACTTTATGGGGATAAAGTCCAGCCGCATACAGTCAGTTCCCTCAGAAATGTACTGACAGGGAGCAATGTGGTGGAAACCAGCAAAGATGTGTCCTTACGTCTGACTAAAGAAATAATGGGGAAAGACAGCATGGCGCTGCGAACGACGACTACAAAAAGTAGCTCAGAAAGAACTGTGACCTCAAATATTAATCAGACGTCATTCCTAGACTTCTTCTTCTGTCTTTTTAAATCAGACATATTTGTATATGTTGAAGACTACCCAGATTCCGACAACACAAAATTGTTCTCTATCTTGGCGCTGTTGAACGCGTATGTTCCAAACTCTTACCTGCTCATGGAAAAGTGCCAACAGATCCTTGACGATTCTTCACTTGAAGAAAAAATGAAGCCATTCCTCAGTCTTGATGCATCCAGTCAATGTCTGTGCTTGATTCACCCAGATATTGCAAATAGATCTTTGGAGCAACTGGCTGACCTGGAGATTTCCAGAAGTGCCATCACATCCAAATGTATAGCTTCACTTTGCGGAGACCAAGCAGAACCTTTCATAGTCGAATTGATAAAAAAGCTACTGACAGAGAGAGAAAAGAAAGAGAATGGCAGAAGTAAGTTCTCAACATTGATAGAAGACATATTGACAATAGAGGGTCCTTCTGAAGCTCTTGATGTATTAATAGAGGCTTCCCAGACATTTCAAGACAAATTCATCTATCCTCAAACAATTGCTCGCTTGTATTACCAGAAAGACATAGACTATGAAGAAGCAGAACGCTGGGCAAATGAAGCTATAAGTAGAGATTCGAAAAACTCCTATACTGCTGACACTCTTGGACAGGTGTATAAGAACTGGTTAAAGGAAAAAACCACATCACACAATGAAGTCAATGATATGGCAGAGAAAGGCTTTAAAGCTTTCAGAAGTGTGGAGAAGAAAGCTAAGGATGAATGTGATGATGAAACAAATTCGTTCAACAACCGAGGCCATTTTGGTTTTATTCAAGTAGCCAAGATAGTTTCTGAGAAACATAAATGTTACGATCCATTCAGGGAGACACTAAAATCTGAAGTAAAAGAGAAGTTTGGGTTTTTTGAATGGTATCTCAGCTACTCCAATCTTGGCAAGCCTCACAAGACAACTGTAGAGCCAGATTTCTTTTGGAGAGAGGTTGCCTCTTGCTATAAAAAATACACAGCGGAAAATGCAGCTGATTCCACCAGCTTCCCAGCTCTTCTCGATTGTCTGAATCACGGCCTTTTCGTGTCGAAGGAAAAACGAGCTTTCAAGTCTGGGGTGACTGAGAAAACACGGCCACAGCTGGAGCAAATCCGAGATTATTTAAAGACTGCTTATAATAAAAATGTAGGTGATGTCAAAGTGGCAGAGAGGTACATCCTTTCAAACATCATCCTGAGCAACAAGGAGCCTCACTCTCCTCAACACGCCTTGGTTAGAAAACTTCAGAAAATACTTAGGAGACACATGTTTACCGTGGTGAATCAAAGACACCCAGAGTTTTACCTTTTGGTCCTGCTGTTGTTCTGGCCAGAGGAGCAGCTTCAAGACCAAACCTTGGAGGAAGCAAACGCAGGAAAAGAATCTGAACAACCATCTTCTGGTCTGAACTATAACCTGGAAGAATATGTCACCCTAATGGAAAAGGCTTATCTTGAAGTCTATCACAGGTACCTCCGAGGTCGTTACCTGCTGCCACAGTTTTTCCTAGGGAAGGGCTCTGGACTTAGCAGATGGATCCACAGGTCTAGACTGGATGCGGCGGTGGAACTCGTGGTGGATGCAGAGCTTGGTAACGCCCCGAACAGAAACAGAGTAAAAAGAAAGAAAATCAATGAGATGTGGATGAGTTGGAAGGCGTGGCAGCTGCCACAAATCCAAGAGCTACTTCAGCCACTCTCAGACGTGACCTGTACAGTGCAGTCAGACGTAAAGGCGACTGTTAGTGTTGGAGGGGAGAAAATTAAAGTCAGAACAGAGTGTAAATCTGGCACTTCGGCAAAGAGCCCCGAGATTTTTTATCTTGGCTTCGATATCATGGGTCCTGTCGTCTTCAAAGTGCCAAAGGAATAACCTCTGAGGGCCCCTGAAGACGTCATAAAGGTTCACCAACAAAGCAGCAAAACGACTCTGTAGATGTCAGCGTTGCTTTTGAATCAGAAAGCATTATTCAGACATGCTTTAAACACCGTCTGTTTTTTTTTTTTTATGAATATCCTACATATTTCTTATCTTGGTTTTTTAAATCACACGACTAAATATGTTTGTGACACAGTGTGTGTTACACTTTTATTGACTTTTGACAAGTGTGTTAAAAAGCTTTTGTTGTTAATCATGAATGAATTTCCCTTTTTTTATAACCATTATTCAAGTTGTTATCATTAAACAATCACAAATTGAAGTGAAGATTATTGAATAAATGAAAAACTATTAAATTGGTTGTTCTGTCATAATGTTATATGAAAGGGCGGATGTCTGCAGAGAAGTCATAAAAAGGAGGTCATGTTATTGGTCTGGACTGCTTGTAAGTTGTTTTGTGCCATAAATATGAGTTGTTTATTAAGTAAATAAATAAATTAATAATAACAAAATACTGGGTCTTTGTGTGTTATCACCTTAAGTATGAAAGATCTTTTCCTTTTCAAAATTTCATGGATGGTTCAGTGTTCATATTATATAACATCACATATCTTTTGTCTTAGTATCTTTATACAGAAAAGGGAATAATCACATATCATAAATCATAAAATAATCGGTAACGCTTTATTTGAAGGGGTGTGCATAAGACTGTCATGACACTGTCATAAACATGACATAACACCTGTCATGAATGTAAAGAAGTCTTTATGAATGTTTATGACAGTTGTCATGAAGTGTCATTCGGTAAATAATGACACTTTTAATGCAAAGTTGCTCTAAAAGTTGCATTGAAAGTCCATTAAAAGAGCTAACTTTGCATTAAATTGTCTTGTTTACAAAATCATGCAAAGTTGGCACTTTTAATGGACTTTCAATGCAACTTTTAGAGCAACTTTGCATTAAAAGTGTCATTTTTTACTGAATGACACTGCATGACAAATGTCATAAACATTCATAAAGACTTCTTTACGTTCATGACAGGTGTTATGTCAGTCTTCTGCACACCGCTTTAAATCATCAACCTAACACAATCTAACACAACCAGTTGTGCTAGCATCTATAAATTCAATAAATCATTGAATGGTCCCTTTATTACTTATAATTTATGTTTCTGAATTGATCGCGTCTAGGAACATTCGGATGATCACATGATGTCACACTCCTCTACTGGCATTTCACCTCATGTATCTCTGCACAAATAATAAACAAAGGAATCTTAAACTTTGAATCATCGCAGGGCTGTCGTGTTGCCATAGCAACCCTTAGATTTTATTTTATTTTTTTATCTACTTCCAGCTGCCTTTTGCAGAGTGAAGCTAGGAAAATAAAGTCGTCCTTTTGTCTACTGTTGCAGACATAAACAGATATTTTCTAAAACTCTCCTGTACCTTTAAATGTGTGTTTTGGTCAGATGTGACTAAGATTTAGCTTTTTGACAGGAAGGTGAAATAACAGATAAATACGAGGAAAGAACCTCATTCCCACTGTGAAGTATAGTGGAGGAACTGTGATGCTGTGGGTCTGTGATGTTCCAGGAACCTCCTAGATTACATGAGACCATGAACTCTCTGAGGCTTCATGAAACAAATACATCTTGACAATTTTTATATTTAAGTGTGAAATTATGCTTCTGCATGCAGTGAGAGATACATTTTCACTTTTTATTTTTATCAGGAATGCCAATAAAATTATAGGGCATCTTGTTATTTGGTGAAACCCCTCAGATTTTGTCATGTCTTTGTCAAATACTCTGAGTGAGATGAAAACAAAATTCAGATGAAAATCAAATCGCTGTGTAAAGCAACACTTTTAAGATTCTCTTAAAAGTGATTGTTTGTTCAACAAAAATGTAAATGTAATTTTGGTTTGTAAATAGAAGAATCAGGGAGAATGTTTCCAGCAGGAGAAAGTAGCTTTCAGAGCAGATATTAACCAAAATATAATAACAATTTTAAAAAATGTAATGACGTAAGAAAGCTTTACATTTGTTGAATTGAAACTTCCTACAATTTTGCATTAAATCCATACATTTTAAACTTTTTTTCCATAGAAATCTAGAATTTTTTTTTCTTAATCTGTCCAGGCCAAAGAAAGCAGAACCAAACCATCATTTCTAAAGAGACCTGAAATCTGTAACACAGCAGAACTATGGTTACAGGTAGATGTAATGGTTAATGGGAAAGAACAAAGAACAACGGCAGAAACACATCGTGTTTTGAAAATATTCAAAACCCGGGTTTTGAAACACGGGTTTCAAAACCCGGGGTGGGTCAATGTCAAAGTGATAAATAGCCTCGCCTGACTGTTCAGTAGCTGCACACCTGCTGGGACTCTCACAGGTAAGAACGTTTCATTCTGTTTCTCAAAATTTGTATTCAAACGTCCAAGTTGAGTTTCTGGATAAGGTTGAACGCCTGAAACAACCACGGATGAAGAGATCCCATCGATTAATCTTATTTTCAGCTCCGAAGCTAAATTAAAGGCACTTTTTGACAACTTCAAATGGACTTTTCCTCCGTGGGATCAATAAGCTGTTCTTGAGCTCTATTGCCACGACTCTATTTGAGACTCATTGCCGCTTATATTTTTGACAGTAAAATGCTGTGGGAACTTTAGATATATACAGTATTTGAACTTAAACTTGAGCAACTTAATTATTTTTCATAACTCAAAAAAAAAAAACAGCCTTAGCTTACACGCAAAAACAAACTGAACTTGCAACTGAAGTAAAATTAGCTGAGTCTGTAACAGGTCTCTGTTTATGTCAGAGAAGTTAGCTGTATCAGTTCCCCATGTCAATTGTACTTATTCTCATATTTTGTTTTTATTAAATACTCAACGCAATGAAATGTAAACAGACAGGACTGGCAAGATGAGATCTGCTGAGCGTGAGCACCAAATGCTTCTCTGACTTCTGACACTGTGTCCTCAGTTCTGAGTCAGAGGGAATGAAGAGCCAGAACAGGAAAACAAAGGACTGAGTTTCTGACAGGCAGAACTAAGAAGCTACGCCCCATCAGTTCTGCTTGGTTAACATTTTTGTTGTGTTGCTTTTTAATTGCCCATTTAATCTATCGGCAAGTTAGCTTTTCTTTTTTAGTTGTTGAAAACCTATTTATCCACTCAGAACAACACACACACATATATATATACATATTATGTAACAATCTGATGTGAGTTTAATAGATACTAGTCCCTCTCATTCAATATCATCCAGATTCATTTACTACAAGAGTTTCCATAAAGTTTAACATAAAAACTCGATGAGGAGAGGCTGGGCTGGAAAAAATGTCACTACTATGTTGTCAAACCGTTTGGTCTTTGAGCCTCATAATCATTGTTTTTCTCCACACTTTATTGTATCATAAAAATTATTTTCATTTGGCTTTTTTTTCCTCAAGGGAGCAGCAAAGACTCAAAAAAAAAAATTTGACAAGAAGATGGACGTTTTTCTGCGCTGCTGCAAACGGTCAGTAATCAGCGTCTCAAAAACAAACATTGTGTGTTTGGAGATGACGGCTGTGACCGGCGAGTATTTGAGCTGCTGTTGTCTTTCTGACACCTCAGTCTGTCCGTTCTCCTCTGACTGCTGACATCTCTGAGGCCTTTTCTGTCCCCACACCTGGCACAAAATGGACATTTGACCCCTCTTTAATATGCAACCGGGGCAACAAATTTATGGTTGAGTTATTTCCAATTCTTCCGCTTTGTTATATTACCATTTAGTGTCAATAAACTTCATGACTGGACTTACTGAGCAGGTCAGTCAATCTCAGTGACTTCAGTGAACTGCTGAGGTTGAACCATTCACTCAAAAATTTATCTGGATTTTTCTTCTGTTTTTACAGAAAACTGAAAATCTGACATGGAAACCGGACCGGCCTTGTCCACTGCTCCAGGCCGTAGGATATATGTGAAAAGTGACATTAGGGATCTCTTTTCTCTGTCAGATGTTCTCTATGAAGATCAGTTTGAAGGAGATGATCCAACGTTTACAGAACAAGAAGAAGAAAACTTTTACAGGGGGGCCCCTCCAAACTGGCTGAACTTTCACATTAACGAGCAGGAAGCATCATCTGGCACTGGAACGCTTTTTATCAAACGGGATGGATTTGAAAAACTCAAGGAGGAAATTCAAATGAAAAGAAAACTCCCTGCGATGTCCACAGTAAAACTGTTCCACCAGTCAGGAAGCGGAGGGACTACAATGGCAATGCAGGCGTTGTGGGACTTAAAGAAAACCTTCCGCTGTGCAGTTCTTACAAACTCGGCCTCAAACACCACAAGAGTGGCGCAGGAAGTGGTCCATCTTTTTACGGCAGGCAGTCTCGGTCACCAGAACACAGTACTGCTGTTACTAAATGATGAGCAGATCCTTGACAAGCTCCAAGAGAGCATTATGATGACCGTCAAGAAACAAAACATAGTCACCCACATGCCTGTGGCAGTTTTACTAAGCTGTGTGAGAAAGGATATCCTGCTACAAAGTAAAAATGTTTTCCTAAAAAGAGAGCTGTCAGAGAACGAACAGCAGAAATTCAATGAAAAGAAGAAGGAGCTCACTGAAAAGTACGGCGAAAAGATCAGAGAGTTCCACGGCTTTAACATAATGCAGACTAATTTCTCAGAAGAATACATCAACAAAGCCTGCCAGATAATTAGATCTTGTTCAAAAGCACGGAGACCCTTGAAGGCCGCTGCCTTTCTATCCTTACTGAATGCCTATGTACCAGGATCCTATCTGCTGGAATCTCAGTGCCTCGACTTCCTCAAGGAGGAAAGCAACGCTTTTGCAGACGTATCAACGAAAGACAAAATGCAGCCCTTTAGTCACCTCATTGTCACCTTCCAAGAAGATGAAAGAACAGAGAGAAAGGTCCGTATGGCTCACCCACTGATAGCAAAGTGTTGTACTGAAGTCCTGGCTGATAAAGGAGTGACAAGAAGTGACACAGCAAGAAACTTCCTGAATAATTACGACAAATATGAGGACCATGGGACGTTCCCAATATATTTGCTTAATTTCATTAAAGACATGTTGACCAAAAGAGAATTTAAAACAAAACTTGACCCAAACAGCAGCTTAGAGGTTAAGGGGGAAAAAGAGAGATTTTCAAAACTCATTCTGGATATCCAACAAGATGACAAGGTCCAGTGTGCGCCCGTCTTAAAGGTGGCATCAAATAAATTTCCTCACGATCCCTTTTTTCCTCAAGCTCTTGCTCGTTTCTACTACATAGAGTTAAAAGATTACAACCTAGCCGAAATGTGGGCAAAGAGAGCAAAGGAAAGAGATCCCCAAAATTCCTTCATCGCTGATACTTTGGGTCAGGTCCACAAGAACTGCCTCAAGAACATAGGGGAAACTTCAAACCCAAGACAAGTCTTGCTGCTAGCCAAAAAAGCTATTGAGGCTTTCAAGCATGAAGAACAACTTGCGGAAGAAGAACATCAGATGGACATCTCTGGCGATAGGACAGTTCAATTCTCAAATATGTTCAACTGCAGAGGGCAGTTTGGGTTTGTACAGGTCTGCAACCTTCTCTATGACTTACTTGTGAAGAAAAACGAACGATGGGAAGCAGTTCTTACAAAGAAGGTGTCCTTTGGTTCTGTCCTGAAAGAATTTGGAGACAACAAACTTTACAGATTCAATGATCTGGTAAACAACCTTAAAGGAGACCTTCAGAAAAAAGCTGAGTTTTTTGCAGAGTATCTGACCTTCTCAAAGCTCAGCATAGAGAGAGATGACCCTGAATACATTTCGGAAGAAACCTATGAATGTCAAAAAAAGTTTGTTGGTTACTCACTGTCAGCAGAGGTCATACCAAACACCAATCAGTGTAAGCATGAGCTTCAGCAGAACCTTGCAACAACATCTGCAGGAGTGCTTGCATGCATGGACAGAGAGTACTCTGAAGATCTACTCAAGTGTATAGCCAAAGGTTGGAAAAAAGTATGGTCAAAGACAAAGTCCAGATCAAATGAAGCCAACTACATTCTGGCTTACATTTTGTCCCGGAACTTGAGAGCAACCTTTCCTGATTCTCCTGAAGCTTTAATTCAAAGTTTCAAACAGGGAAAACCGCCGGATCACAGTAATCCTCCTGAGCAGCACATGCTAGCCTTACTTTTGTCGTGGCCCGCAAACAGTGAAAATAAAAGTAGCTTTGATCTGAACCAACAAATCCAGGAAATGGGCCGCTCATATGAAAAGGCATACCGGAAGTACTTTAGATCAAGATACCTCCTACCTCTGTTTTTCATCGGAAAAGGACAAGATCTGGACAGACTTGTTCACAGAAAAGTTCTCGAGCATCTGTTCTTTGAGCACAGCCAAGGAACGGATTCAGACTGCAAAATGAAAGACTGGACAAATGAAGACATATTCAAAGATGGCAAGGTCAAAGAACGCCTGATCAAGTTTGAAGGGGTAGTAAGGAACTACAGTTTGTTCCTTCCTGTTGGTAGCAAACAGATTGAAATTGAAGCCAATCTACAAAGAAGTCTCTGGAAAGCACGGCAAGTTTCCTTTTTCCTTGGATTCACCATCAGAGGTCCAGTGGCCTTTGACATCCAGACTAAAAAGGTAGAAAGAGGTGAGATAACATGGCTCGCTTATTTACATGCAGATAACAATGGTTCCTTACTCACAACCAAGACATTTGTAAGGAAACGAAAGGAAGCATATTTACTGCTTAGCCACTGTACCTTTGTGGGTAGAGTAATCGTTTTGTGATCAGAAGATTATAGGTTTGGCTTCGGTTTTCTCCTGTCACATGTCAGGATGGGCACTGTGTTTTTAAACTGTTTGTGAATGTGAATGGGTGAAAAATAGCTGAATAAGTGCTATATACCATTTAATAAGAACTAGCTGGTGTTCTCCCATGTTGTTAATGTTTATGACTATGGATCAATTCTCCCCTTCACCAACTCATACCCCAGTGTCCTATTGGTATTTAAATAAGCAATCAGGTAATCAAAATGCTCAAAATCTTATGAATATTTATATCATTTTACACTTCATCCATCGTCTCCAATGTTAACTCATTTGAAGTATGATAGATTACCCCAGATCTACGTAAGAGAAAGACATAGCACCCCATTTCTACAAAAACATGGTTATGATTACTGAAAATGACTTCCAATCTTAGTTTTTAAGGCGAGTAAAAATTGATGTATTGTTGGTGTGAAAGATCCAGGGGCAGATCCCTCCTTCTTTGCACCTTAATAAGTTGTCCAAAATGACTAAAACTGCATATGTGTGACACATTACCATCATTCTCCATGTGTGTTTAGGCCTTAATCAGTTTATTTTTAGAATCAAAAAAACCTGTAACGTTCAAAGCCGTATGTGTAGCACCACCAAGGCTCTTTAGCTGTTTGCCGTAATTCAATTGTCTTTTTGGTTCCTGTAAAACTGCTCTATCCAGTTATATTAATAGCACAATGCAATTAATCAGTGTCATGTTTTACAGTCAGACAAGGATAACAGATTAGTTTAATGGATGACGTTGAATATGACAAATGTGTTTTCTTTCTCCTTCCAGAGCTGAGAGAGTTGGAAGGTTCAAACCCAGAAGAACCAGTCTGAAGGCCCGTCCCTTCCACTACGTGACTGTTATTTTCTCTGAAATCTACATTTTTTTCTTCTATTTGTTTATCTTTCATTCATAAGTCGGTTTTTCATGTTACATCAGTCTTGTTTTTGGCTTTGGTAGTTTGGATTTGTGGGTTTGTTTGGGTTAATCAGAGGGACCTGAATGCAGTGGACAAGAACACTAGAAGAAGTTACCAATTGATGTCGTCTCCCTATTTTTGTTTTGTCGGCTGAGGTCAGTTTTTGTTTTCTTTTGTCATTTTGTAAGATTTATTTGAATCAAACTTTGGTGAAATTGTTGCAACCTATTGTTATGTTCTAAGTGAATGAGTCAGTTTAGTAGGTACTTTGTTGTTGATCAAACATTTTTGTTAAGTTAACTTTAAATCTACAAAGAATGTGTGTGAATAAACATAAGGGAAATGCAGTGAAGTAAATTTAATGTTTGAGATGTTAAAAAATAAAACTTGAGATTTTCCTGTGTTAAATATTTTTGGTAAATTAGCAGTTTCATCTTGCCTCTGAACTTGAGTTAACATATGGGACAATGTACAGAAACAATCATGTCAAAAGACTTGCTATGCATCGTATTTAGCCACTAGCTAAGATCTATCTGTAGTTTTACTGAAACAAAGCAGTATAAATTAAATGCGATAAAAATCCACACACATACTAAGCTAAAACATTACTGAGCCGATAAAGATATTTCATTGTGTGCAGTTTAGCTTTCCAACCGTTGCATTTATATTCTTAAATTGGACATCGACTATCTTGAGCACCAATTCAAAACATCTGCATTTACATTTTGACGAGGTAAAGAAAAATTCAAAATATTCGAATACATTTTGACCGATGAATAGGTTTCAAGAAATCTCAAAAGCGTCAAATTCTTAATTTTAAGGGTCAAACAGTCATATTTCCAACTCTAGATATCAGATTAAGCTAATCAAAACCACTTTTCTGAATTAAGAAATTGCACACAAGCTCCTTTAGCTCTGCCGTATTTTGGGTTCTGAACAAAATTGTCAGAAATTGCCACAATTAAAAACCTTCTATTCATGAGAATGCGCCTTGATCTCATTGAAATCAAGCTGCAGTTTTACATAGTTCGGTCACACTTCTAGAAAATAGCTTCGTCTAGCACTAAGATGATAAAACGCCGATATACCTGGTATAGTGGTATTAATTTAAACATAAAAAATTGTGTTAAAGGGGAACAAGCTCTTAATGAGGTTGTGTGTGGCTCTTAAAAGAGCCGTTGTGTGTTAGTTGGAGCTGCAGCCTCTAAGCCCTCTCTCCGCGGATGCGGCGGGCCAGCTGGATGTCTTTGGGCATGATGGTGACCCTCTTGGCGTGGATGGCGCACAGGTTGGTGTCCTCGAACAGACCCACCAGGTAGGCCTCGCTGGCCTCCTGCAGAGCCATGACGGCGGAGCTCTGGAAGCGCAGGTCGGTCTTGAAGTCCTGAGCGATCTCTCGGACCAGACGCTGGAAGGGCAGCTTACGGATCAACAGCTCCGTCGACTTCTGGTAACGACGGATCTCTCTCAGAGCCACGGTACCGGGCCTGTAGCGGTGAGGCTTCTTCACGCCGCCGGTAGCCGGAGCGCTCTTCCTGGCTGCCTTTGTTGCCAGCTGCTTCCTGGGGGCTTTGCCTCCGGTGGACTTACGGGCGGTCTGCTTGGTTCTGGCCATGCTTCTGTTCTCTGATCACGATCAGGAGAAAAATGATGCAAAGCGCCGAGGCTCCGCTGTTCTTAAGCCGAGGCTCTGGGCGTCACTCTGTGACGCTGCGGCTCCGCTCCGGATCCTGGTTGGTTAGCGGCTCCTCCTGGAGCTCAGCGCCGCCCAGAGGCGTCTCCTCCCGGCTTAATGTCCGCCGCTCATTGGAGGAAGCCGCGTTTAAAAAGTCCGCCTCTCCGTCCCGCTCTGCTGGGAGCTTTTCTGATTGGTCGCCTGCATCATCCCGCTCCTCTCCGCGGACATAAAAAGCAGCTTTCAGCCGCTGCTTCTCATTTCTTTCTGGAGTCTCATCTCCATTAAGAAGCAACAACAAAATGAGTGGCCGCGGAAAGACCGGAGGAAAAGCCAGAGCTAAGGCCAAGACCCGCTCCTCTAGAGCCGGACTCCAGTTCCCAGTGGGCCGTGTCCACAGGCTGCTGCGCAAAGGCAACTACGGCGAGCGGGTCGGTGCCGGAGCCCCCGTCTACCTGGCCGCTGTGCTCGAGTATCTGACCGCTGAGATCCTGGAGCTGGCTGGGAACGCCGCCCGCGACAACAAGAAGACCCGCATCATCCCCCGTCACCTGCAGCTGGCCGTCCGCAACGACGAGGAGCTCAACAAGCTGCTGGGTGGAGTCACCATCGCTCAGGGTGGGGTGCTGCCCAACATCCAGGCGGTGCTGCTGCCCAAGAAGACCGAGAAGCCCGCAAAGGCCAAGTAAACTCCCGATACCCGCTGAAAACGAACAACGGCTCTTTTAAGAGCCACACACTTTATTTTAAGAGCTTGGACTGCTGCTGCTGCTTTGCCGAACAAGTTTATCATAAGCACTCAATTTTATTTATGAAGTCTTGAAACTATACAAATGTAACCCCACGGTGGAACATCCATCCATCCATTTTCTGAACACCCTTGTCCCTCAGTGGGGTCGGGAGGGGTGCTGGTGCCTATCTCCAGCTACGGTGGAACAAAGTATCCCAAAATTATACATGTTCTTAAAGTTGCAATTCATTTTATTCGCCAGTGGAAATATTGGTGTATATTATCTGCAATACCAACAGTAATTCTGGTTCTGAGCTGTGATCTCAGCCACTTCACTTCTATACTAAAGTCAAGTTTTTAGATAGTACAAAATATGTAATGGTAAAATTAATTTATTTTTAATAAGAACAGGATGGAGTCCGAGACAAATTCATGTTATTAAATTGCAGACATGAATTTCAATGTATTAGAAAATTAGGTAAAAATACAACCGATTAGATGTGTTGGCACTCATCAAATATTAAACTGATTAAAACTAATAAATCAAATGAGATTTTTTTGTATTTTTATATAGGTTTACATTACAAAAACTGAAACAAAATAAAACACTATTCTACAACCTTATGTCAAAAGAGGTATATATATATATATATATATATATATATATATATATATATATATATATATATATATAAAGAAATATCTACTGTTCATTCACATCCACTCAACACAGGTACACGATATATGCAAACATCTACATAATTTATCATTTCTTCTATAATTTTAAAGCTCTTAAAATTCACAAAATAACGACATTCAGTTCATTCAATAGTTTCTCAACTGAAACACCAGATTTTACATTACTTTCCTCTTTATTATATTAAAATCTTAACAGAGTCCTTACTTATTTTTATTCTTTCCTAATTAATTTCTGAATTACCGAAGGAAGATTTCATTTTAAAAAAAGCAATTAAGAAAAAACGAACTTTTTCTTTAAAAAAAAGTTCGTTTTTTTGACTGAAGCTCGGTTCCTCTCCTGTTCTCTTTCACGTCCGCAGTTCACAGATATAGGCGGTGCTTCATCCGTGTAGCCTTCATTATCGCTTCAGACTTTTCTAGAACGATACCACCATGAGCGGCAGAGGAAAAGGAGGCAAAGGACTCGGTAAAGGAGGCGCCAAGCGTCACCGTAAGGTTCTCCGTGATAACATCCAGGGAATCACCAAGCCCGCTATCCGCCGTCTGGCTCGCCGCGGGGGAGTCAAGCGTATCTCCGGTCTCATCTACGAGGAGACCCGCGGTGTGCTCAAGGTCTTCCTGGAGAACGTCATCCGTGACGCCGTCACCTACACCGAGCACGCCAAGAGGAAGACCGTCACCGCCATGGACGTGGTGTACGCTCTCAAGAGGCAGGGCCGCACTCTGTACGGCTTCGGAGGTTAAACTGCTCCGTCATATTGACAAAACAAAACGGTCCTTTTAAGGGCCACACACATGGCTTTTAAGAAGCTAATTTCCTGTCAAACTTTAATAATAAAAGCTATATCTATTGTAAGCCAACTCTTTCAGCTGCGCTTCATATATACTCAAACTACTTAAAAAGGTAAAGGACCCATTAGGATAGGAATGAGGTATAAGTCTGGGCCATTGTCTGTAAAGTGCAGGTGCAAAATAACCAAAAAAGTGCAGTCTAATAAAATTCGTCCCCAAAGCTAACTATGGATGCCATGAAGCTTTCAACTCCATGTGACAAGATGAAGCTGCACTACTGCGCCATCAAGTGGACAAATGCTGAACGTGTAGTGACTAATGACGTGATTAAAATGTATAGTATGAAGTTTTAAACTGAAAGTTTGATGCTAATACGCAACTCTAGCATATTGTTGATCTTTAAATCAAAGACTGGACCAAAAGGAAAAGTGGAAGTAAATGAGGATTTTGATGTGAATTAACTTGTTACTTAGTAACCATGCTAATGTCACTATAGCAAGAAAATGTCAATTGTTTTAAAAACAGAACTTTTCACTGACTGTGCTGGCTTCTCTGTTTTGAGAAAATTTCACCTACTGTAGAAAATAACCTTTCACACGATGTGGGTTAGCTAACATGGCAACAGTAACATTATACGAGTTAGAATAAACATTTTTGTCTTTCCCAATATTCAGGGGATTCTCCAGTTCTCTCAAGTTACTATTTCTTTGTATTCTGTGCTTTCATTGCATCCTAGAAACACTAACTGCTTTTGAAGAGCTCTAATGCTCCGGCATTGAGGTGTTATTGTATCAATGTTCATTTTAACACAACAAGACACCTCACCTTAACACATCATCTGCTGTGTTGCTTTTTTAGATACCATTTATAACTTTGTGCAAATCTTATTGAAAGAGAGATGATGAAGAATCCTCCTGATTACTGGACACAGCAATTTTCAGATTGTTTTGGTTTGGGGGGAAACCAGAAATTTAATGGGAAACCGCAATGGAGCAGCAGAATACAAATTAAATACAATAATTTTGTGGCAATTGGATGGCTTGGATTCATATCAGTTTCATATACTGATATGAAACCTCTACACTTTTCCCTCAGCCTATATAATCCATTTAAACTGTTTGTTCCCTGTTTTTTCTATAGATATCTAGGAATTGACCATTTACAAGATGGCCAAACAAAACCACTGTTTCTGAAGAAACATACCTAAGATGTTGGGTATGAATAAAAAATGTTCAAACCAAAAGTTTTGAACTAAGATATTACTTTCACTTGTGAAGAAACACAACTCATTAGGTGGCATGCTGCCTTTCAAGTTGAGCTATTAATAACCGTGGCACGTTTGAGACACACATAAAGAAACAAGAGAAGGAATGCAATGGAACATGAAACTCATGTCATCATCAAGATAGAAGATTTGAAACCGTGGGGAGGGTGTGGTCAAAGCTGATTATAAATAACATTGTTCTACTGTTCAGTCACCTGCATACCTGCTGGAACTCTGACAGGTAAGATGACTGGAGAGTGTGTGTGTTCATTCGTCTCTGTGGGTAAGAGTTAAGTGTTGTTTGTGTCGTATTTTTGATTATTGTCAAATCATTCATCAGGAAAAAAAAGCATTTTAAGTGAGTTTTAGCACTTTTTGGCTACAAATTTTGTATTAAGCAAACATTGTTAAAGTGGTGTTATTACAAACATTACAAATTGAACATTTCAATTTCTAATACACAGACTATTTAAATTGTTTCTGATAAGACTCGGTGATTGGCCATCCATTTTGACATTTGGAATTGTAAATTATAATACTCATTCGGCGTGAAGAGTTCAACACAGGTCTGTATTTCTGTATTTTGACGTACAAGGTTGGAATTCAACTTTGCATGTCAAAATATAGAAAATTGCTGACCTACATTTTTACATATGAGGTCGGACTGCGTCTAGGCCACAAAGGGTCACCTGTTTGTGATGTTCACACAGTCAAGTAGAGATTTGTGTCTGATTTGGAAAGTATTTTCTTTGCTTATTGCAGATGATTTAGTCCTGTTGGTCCTCTGGTTGTGACATTTGCAGGTAAGTGGATCCTGAGGCATTAGGAATGAATGAATGAACGAACAAAGGAAGAACTTAATATGTTATTTCTAAGCATCACACAAAAACTAAACCGAGCTCCACAGATCCACGGACAAGAACAGACACAAAAAATACTATAATCCAACTCTGCATGCAACATTCTTTGGTTCAGGAGTTGGATTGTTGTGGAGGAAAAAAAATGTTTAATGTCCTCCTGCATTTTTTTCCCAAGCAACAGGAAGGTGAGAATGAAGTTGCTGTGAGCTGTCTGTTAAGATGCCATCTTCTCTCTGTAAATGTGCTGCAGATGAGACTCTGATGGTTTCCTCAGCTGTTCTCATTACCAGAGTCTCTCTTCTGCTGTGCTGTTGTGAATGTGAGGATCCTTCCAGCCTTTGCAGAATGTTGTGTTGTGCAGCAATAGGCTTGGCAATGACTAACTGTTAATGACTAGCAAAGGCAGTTGTTGACAAAGTCATTAATTTGAATCAGAATTACTAAGGTAGGGCAACACATGATTATCTGGAATTCATAGCTTAACAGCTGACAGACGCTGCCTGTTATTGCTTCATGAATACCTGCTTGATGAGTTGTCATATTACAGAACAGCAAATAGTGTGAACTCACTACATGCATATTCAAAACATCGCTCAAAAGTACAAAAATTTAACAGCATACCTTAACTTCCAGTTAAGATAATTATGGCGATAATCTCTAACTGGACTGGTAACATTCACCTAAACCAGATGTTCCCAAACCTGGTCCTCAAGTAACCCTGCAAAAACCTATTAATCATCCATTCATTTACTTCAGGTGTTTGGAAACAAGGAGACACCTACAACATGCCTTTCCTTCTTTCCTGGGTGTGTCAACATATTATGGAGTTGGGTGGAGATCGACAGTAAAACTTCTCAGTGAGGCAAACTGAAGCAAGTCCTGATTAGTGAAGATGTATGATGTGATGTGATTACTCATAAACTGCTCCAAACATTTCTGTGCTGATGGTGTCAATATTACCTGGACAGTAAAATTCATCAAAGATGGATTTGGCTTCTTGGTCAGAGGAATGGTGATGGCAGTCTTTGGACAGGTTGGCAATTTGGCCAAGAAAAATGTTAAATATGTCTGGAAAGACATTCTATAGCTGTTCAACAAAGGCTTTCAACACACACCGACTGACATGATCTGGACCATTCTGTGGGTTTTGATATTCTGGGTTCAGTTCCAGCACTTTTATCTCACTATGTCTTGTTATTTTTAATATTTATGCTAAAAACCTCGTTTCTTCTATTTTTAGGATTGCAAACTGTGTGTGGTGAAACAACTTTTTCAAGCAGAAGCAACAAAAACAAAAGAATAGACCCTTCTGTTTGATGTGACCATCATGGAAAGTAACTCAGGAGAAGATGTGAACTCTGCCCTTGATCTTGACAAAAAATATGGTTGTTTATTTTTTTGTTGTGAACCGTACATTTCTGCACATGTGCTGACCAACCCAATGTCCACCAATTCAAAATTGTTCTCAATGTTGGCACTGTTGAATGCCTATGTTCCCAATTCCTACCTGATCATGGAAGAGTGTCGAGGAATCCTAGGTCCGCCTGATCCCATCTATGGAGGTCCTCCCTTCGAAGTTAGAATGCAACCGTTTTCCAAGCTCATCAAAGTATCTGGCTCGAAGGTACGCCTGATCCATTCAGACATTGCTAGAAGGTCTGTGGAGCTGTTAGCTGAACTAGGCATTCCCAGAAGTTCCTTAGCACTGAACTGTGTGTTTCTGCTTTGTGGGGAAGAAGTCCAACCTCACACTGTCCAGTTTGTCAAAGATTTGCTGACAAAGAGAGAGATGGGTCCAAAGGGCAAAGAGAAATTCTCACTGCTAATTAAAGACATTGTAGAGCAAGAAAAATTTATTAAAGCACTGATGGTTTTGATAAAAGCTTCAAACAAATTCCAGGACAAACACATTTTCCCCCAGACTGTTGCTCGGCTGTACAACATTGGAGGATGTCGCCCAAACTTCAAAAAAGCTGAGAAATGGGCTAAAGAAGCCATCAAAAGAGCCCAGAATAACTCCTATGCCGCAGACACCCTTGGACAGGTCTACAAGAACCATTTATTGAGAGGGGTCAAAGGATCCTCTGAAGTGAATAAAATGGCCGTGAAGGCCCTTGAGGCGTTCAAAGATGTAGAGATGAAAGCTAAGAAGGAATTAGACCCCGAATGGAGTGAATATGATGGCTGTGCCAACTATTCCGTTTCGTTCAACAACCGAGGCCATTTTGGTTTCATTGAAGTGGCCAAGATTGTCTCTGAGAAACATAAACATGACAATCCATTTGAGGACACCCTAAAATTGGAAGTTGAAGACAAGTTTGAATTTTTTGAATGGTATCTCAGCTACTCCCAGCCTGACAGGATAACAGTGGAACCAGATTTCTTTTGGAAAGATGTTGCCAGTTGCTATCAACAATACACAGCAGAAGTTGCAGCTGATTCCACCAGCTTCCCAGCTCTTCTCGATTGTCTGAATCACGGCCTATTCGTGTCGAAGGAAAAACGAGCTTTCAAGTCTAAGGTGACTGAGAAAACACGACAACAGCTGGAGCAAATCCGAGATCAATTAAAGACTGCTTATGAGGAAGCTGCAGATGATGTCAAAGTGGCAGAGAGGTACATCCTTTCAAACATCATCCTGAGCAACAAGGAGCCTCACTCTCCTCAACACGCCCTGGTTAGAGAACTTCAGGAAATACTTCAGAGGCTTCTGCCCAATGGGGCGAATAGTAAAGGCCCAGAGTTTTACCTTTTGGTCCTGCTGTTGTTTTGGCCAGAGGAGCAGTTTCAGAAGGGTCAAGAAAACAATGATGATGAAAGGTTACAAGAACCTGACACAGACAAGGCTCAGTCTGAAGACCAAACTATAGAGGAAGCAGATGTAAAGGAGAACAATACAGGAGAAGAACCTGATCAACCCCTTCCTGGCCTCGAATATGAACTTGACATGGAAGAATATGTCACCTTGATGCAAAAGGCCTATGACAAAGTCTATGACAACTACCTTCGAGGTCGGTACCTGCTGCCACTGTTTTTTCTAGGGAAGGACTCTGGACTGAGCAGATGGATCCACAGGTCTAGACTGGATGCAGCGGTGGAAAACCGGGTGGAAACGGAGCTCGCTAATAAACCAAGGGACACAAATAGAAACAAAATGAAAAGAAAGAAGATCAATGATATGTGGGATAGTGGGGAGGTGTGGCAGCTGCCACAAATCCAGGAAATGCTTCAGCCCATTCAAATGGAGACCATGCAACAGAGTGGAGGAGATGAAAAAATGTTTCTTAGTGTAGGCGGGAAGATAATAAGAAAATATCAGTGCCAGGTTCACCATGTGCATGAATCTGGCACTTTGAGCCCAAAGCGTTTTTATCTTGGCTTCAACATCAGGGGTCCTGTCATCTTCAAAGTGGAGGATTATTCAGAAAAACATGATTGTAAAGGTACAAATCAGCAACAGAACACTGCTTGAGTCAGTATTGGTTTTCAGGACAGAAAGCAGCATTTTTGTTCATTCCCTAAAGTTTCTGACTCTCTGGGTCTGTTAAAAGAAGGAACTCTGTGAATTATCCAACCAGTCATTGTTGATTCTGGGACTGTACAGAAAAACTTCACATCTGAAAAGCTCACCGATCAGTTTTCAGCTTTATTCTGCAAACTTCATGTTGGATATTATTACTGTTACCAAATATATTAATTACAGTGTCTGTTTTTGTCTGTTAGGTTTTAAGGTAGGAACGATATTAATCAACGGTCTTGGATTCTGTGATATCATTAACATAGCATGAATTAAATTGGGTTGATTTTGATCTCTTTCTCCTTGTTTCTGTTGTTTTAAACACAAATATAAAAATTGATATTCAAATAAATTAAGAATGATTAAAATGATACTTCCGTACCAATGCTTACTGAAAAAGCAAATTTATTAAACTCTAATAAAAAGAATGCCATACTGTTGGACTGGATTATATGTGAGTTATTTTTATCTAAGTTGTTGTTTGCCTTCAGTTTTTGAGCTAAGTCACCTACTGTGACCTTTTCCATTATTATTTTCCAACAATGAGCTAAACTGCAAAATCACTCTTACACTTTAAATCTTACAACCATCATACTGAGCTAATTTCTTGCACAAACTTCTGTTTGAACCAATAATCCTCTTATTTAATTCTCTCTATTCATTGTACCAACTTTTTTTATTTTTATGTTTGTGGTGCAACATCTGTATAATTGTACATATCTTTATACAATGTAACAACTGCAATGTAATTCTATGAATGTACTGTGCCATTAACCCTTTAAATTACTACATTTGTGTTTTGTGTAGACATTAATGTAAAAAAAAAGACACATATCAATAATTACAGTTCATTTTAAACTTCCTGAAACCTGAATCTGTTTACAAAGTCACGCATCATGGAGATTGTTCAAATTTAAAAAGGATGTTCAAAAAATGTATTAAAACTACTTAAGTTTCTTGAATATGCTTGCAGTGCTATATTGCCACCTACTGGTTGTTTATCAGAATAGCAGGAACTTCATCTCAGATAGTTGCGACGTTGTTTCACGTTTTCCGTTGAGCCCAATAGGTAAACCAGCAACATTTCAGATTCTTTGTGTTTACAAAGAGCTCAGTTGTGATTTATCTAAAGTAAAAATGCCCCACACTCGACTCAGGTTTGGTTATAGAGAAATCCACACTGATAATGTCTCTCTTTGCTAAGTTGAGCAATATTGCTAAATGATCCAAGGAAATCATTGGTAAGTAGTAGTGAAGAGAAAGACTTAAGAGAAACATTTACAGGTCACACCTAAGAGGTGCAGGAAGCACCCCGCCCCCCAAAAAATAAGGAAACGATGTTATTCTGTACCGGTTGCTAAGCAGCCCAGCACAGGGCGCAGGGCTGTGAGAGACGAAGCTTCACAGAGACGGAGTTTGGATATAAGGAAAAAGATGCAAGCAGGAAGAGGGGAATATATGTGGATGAATCCTCTGAGCACAGACATACTGTCCAGAGGATGTATACAAACAATAACATAATTTTTTTAATGAAAAGACAAAGCTTTGAGATAGACCTGAAAGTGAAGAGAAACAAAAATACTTCACTTATATTAAGAGTGAATGCTCTTCAGGTGCATCGTGCCATAGATTTGGAGAAGAGATTAAGAATAATAATTAACAAGAAACACCAATAACACACATGTAGATTAGAGATATGAAATGGTCAAAAAATATGGCAGCAGCATGACGCTCTGTTTCACTCGTATATTAGTAAATCTGGTTCTGATTTACTAATTGCACTAATAATTCAAAAATGTTGCTGCAGGTTTGTCCGTCCAACGCGTTGCAATAATGAAAACGTATCCGGAGAGAATAAGTTTTCATCTGGTCTTGTGACAAAGGTGCAGACCACCACCTTCCTGTTCCTTTTAAAACCACGGAAACCAAACGGCTCATGCTGCTGTGCTTGTTTAGAGCATCAGCTCGACGTCTGAAAACCTGTGTCAGCACAAATATGGGTGGAAAAGGAGATTTCCTCTGTGATGGAATAAGCACAACTAATAAAGTGGTCAGGAAGCAAATAAAAGATAAGACCCAGAAAAAAAAAACAACAACAAAAGAAAAAAACAAATAACCCAAATATTTCTATTCAGTAATTCTGGTTTGATTGTCATTCATTTCAACCTGGTAGCCCAACAAATAAACAGTTTGATATATTTTTGGGTTGAAAAAGTGTGTTGGATCAAACCCACAAGCCTCCATCCAACCAACCGACCCATTCCTGGCATTCTCATCAGTCGTAGGTGTCAGGACCGTATGGTTAGGGTGGTGCCACCATAACCAGTTTGTTGCCTGGGAACTATTCCACAGGAATGAAGGATTATTATTCCACTTATACAGAAATCACTGCCAAATCTATTTCTTCCTCAAGAAGTTGCTGCTCGCTCTACTCTTGTCTTCTCTGACTGTCTTAGTTTCATCAAACTGGGGATGACTGAGTTCTTCAAATTTTAATGGATGAATAAATGAATGTACTTTATTAATCTCAGAGGGAAATTCTCAAACAAAATGAATGTAAAATCAAAATTAATTGATGATTTTACTGAGTCCAAAATGCTCCACCAGTTTTTCCTGTGCTGCTCTCTCCTCCCTGACCTCTGACCTCTGTCTGTTGTCAACAGTGTCGGTGAATAGGCCTCTAAAATAGATGCTGAGGTCTGATAACCAAAAATACTTAGATGTCTCCTGAAGAGTAAAACTCTCCTTTACTTTTCTGCTTTCGTCAGCATTAGTAATCCATGCATTTACAACCCACCAGAAGCTTTATTAATTTTTTTATTTTTAATAGGACTGAGCCAGATCAATGTCTCACCTGTTAACCGCTCTGGGTTTGTGGCGCGGTGGAGGAGGTGCCTCCCAGATCGACAACATTTTCTCAACCAGACGAATGTGTTGCAACTTTAGCTTCACAGTTCTCCTCGTGCAGTGCAGGCCTCTGGCTTCCTGTTCATTTTCATAAGAAAAACAAAACACACTCTTGGTTTGAACACCCGATAAACCGACTCCAACCTCTGTCAGACGTTGCTCAGTGCTTGTCACTTTGCTACGTTTGCAATTTTCTTCACTTTTGTAGCCAACCATTTCTCGCTCCTTCGGAAACAGATGCACAGCAGGAGGTGTCACTGCAGCCACACGACGGGCCCGACTTCACATTTCTACGTGTGACATTTAATAAAACCACAAATAAAGTCGACTCACCTCCCGAACATCTCTAAGGTCCGTCACTGCCAACTGCGCTTCCCTCGCTCAAAAGTGTGACAACCACAGTTTTCCAACCTCAATCGTCGCTGCTCGCCACAAGGGTGAGCTGTCAGAAAAAAAAAAAAAAACAACTGCTTGATCTGAGTCAGCAGTGTGAAAATTTGTTGATCTTGACCTCAGACTTACAAAGTGATGCATTCACTGCAGTTATTTGATTGGCTGTTTGCTGCGAGCTGGGATCCGAGGTGGTCCTGGTCAACTGACTATAACGTCAGTAACCTCCTTCACGACACAGAGAGCGGAGACGGGCCGGTCATGGAAGGTGAGTCAATACTTTCTCAGCTACAAACCGATAATATTAACAGCTCCATCATTTGATTTATTCTATTTATTTACTCCTTTTTGAGAAAAAAATAATCTCCTGTGTTCAAGTGACATAACATTAACTCCTAAAGCTAAAATCTTGGAACACATCTGAAATAGATTTTTTTTGTTTGTTTGTCTGTAACAGATTATATAGTGATGATTTATCAACGCTACAACCAGGATGCAAGTATCTTAACATCCAAATTACAGACCTTTTGAGTTGTGTTCACTAACTCGGTCTCTTGCCTCTTCAGGCAAGAAAATGCGAGTCGTCCTGCTGATCGCTGTCGTGTGCAGCTGCGCTGCGGGAGACGAGGATTCCTTCAATAACCGCCCGTGTCAGCCGAACAACGACCAAAACGCCTACAGCAAGTTCGAAGCCAAACACATCCTTCCAAAAAAGTTCAAAACTAGCTCAACACCCGTGTGGGAGAAGTGAGTCACTGAATGTTGATTAAAGCAGGGATAAAAACATTGCAATTGTTACTTAAAAGACTGTTTATTTGGAAGGTCTCGTCACTGCATCTCAATGTCTAGACTTTGAATAGGCCTGTCCAGCACTTCCAATCTCCTCTTTTTTTAAATCATGCAGAGTAAGTAAGTTGAAGAGAAATTCACCTTCAGTGTTTTCTGGTGTGGTTCCATCACCCAGGATTTTAAACGCTTCATCCTGGAATTACGTGTCAGTTTTATGTGTGTGACGGACATGCAGCTTCCAAAATGCTCTACTATTTTCTGATTGGTTCACAGAATATTTTCTAAAAGCTCTCGGGTGAAACATCAGGATGTTTTGTCTTTACTCTGTTTGTCCAGCAGAAGCTTTTTGTTTGGATCTCTGCCACTGATGTCCTTTTAGCCCAGATGGTTTCTTATTGTTGAATCGTTAAAATGCACCATAACTGACGTATCAGATTTATGGTTTTTCCATATAGTTTGTTTGGACAGATTTTTTCCTGCGTAATAAATGGAATCATCTTTTGAAAACTTTTGTTTTCACTAAGGTTATCTGCTATTAAAATTAGTTTGATCTGAAATATTCAAGTGTAAGAAAAAAATGCATAATGGGGCAAAACATATCTTATACTGTTCATGCATAATGTTAGATTATCTGAAAGACGTGTGGCTTCATTTTAATAAAAGAAAAATCTAACCTTTTTAAATTACATGTTTAAATGTTTTGAATAACGCAGTTTGTTTATTTCTCTAGACACATAAAAAGCTTGAAGCGCTGCAAAGTTGAAACTCAGACCTTCATCGAGAGGTCAAAGGTCAATCTTGTTAAGAAAATCTGCAACGGCAACGGCTGGAACCGGCAGGGCAACTTGTGCACGAGCAACTCAAAACTGCCCGTGTACGTAGTGAAAGTGAACACATCCAGCTGCACAGTTCTCAACACCCCGAGGAAAACGGAGGAACTGGTGACGGTGGCTTGCGACAAAGTTGGCAATGATTGCCTTCCTGTTCATCTCCAGGCAAAACAACAAACTCAGAAGGGACGCAAAGTTACCTGCTCCCCTACTGCTGCTGATGATGATGATTATTATTGGTCTGATGAGCAATTTAACATCTGAGAGATTATTAAAAATGCTTCTACGCTGTTGTTATTAGAAAATTCAGAAACTTTAACCTGCTCCAGCGATCCTCACAAGAAATGAATATGTTCTGCACCAAAGGGTTTTATTTGCATCGTATTGTTAAGAGCGGACGTTCTGTACAATAATCTTTTTACATGCCAGTTTAACCTTTGTTGATTTTGGATACAGTGTGAATACAAGCATCTGTTCCTAAGAATACATCCTGAATATAAAGACACATTCACATTTTTTTCTCCCTGCCTCAAGCTACATAAGACTAAATGTCTCTTGTTTTAAGTTAGTTGAAATTATTAAAATTAATTTTATGTGCTTAATGACAGAAAAATTAGTGAAAACATGTTTTAGAGTTTTTTTAAATTACTTTCTTAAAAATCAGAAGATATGGAAATATCTGGTTTCAGCTGTACGTATAATCAAATTAATTAATTTTATGCTGATTTCCTTATTGGCTGTGCTAAACAAATTGCTGTTGCTTTGAATATTGTCCAATAAAGCTCACATCTATGAATGAAATCTGATTTTGTCCTGTTGTCCAATCACAGCTCATGATTTAAAACAGCTCTGTAGTTCTGAGAAGTCTTAGTTACTAAAGTAGCTACTTTGTTATTAACCTTTTTTTCCTAGTTTTGCAATGAATGTTATAACAGAAAAGTTAGCTGATATACTGACAACTAGTTCACTCAATCAAAAGCTCTTTCAGCGCTTCATTGCCACCTGCTGGTTGTTTGTCAGTATAGCAGCAACTTCATCTCAGTTAGTTGTCGTTTTCCTTTGAGCCTAATAGGTAAACCAGCAACATTTCAGATTCTTTGTGTTTACAAGGAGCTCAGCTGACTGTTAGTTCTGCACACAATGAGAATCCATCTAACAAAGACTGAAAAACAGAGATTTATCTACAGTAAACTGCCCCAGACTCGACTCATTGTTAGTTAAAGAGAAATCCACACTGATAATGTCTCTCTTTGCTAAATTTAGCAATATTTGCTAAACAATCCAACAAAACCAGAAAATTATTAGTAAGTAGCAGTGCAGAGAAAAACTTAAGAGAAGCATTTACAGGTCACACCTAAAAGGTGCAGAAAACAAAACCCCCAAAAGAAGGAAGTGATGTTATTCTGTAACGGTTGCTAAGCAATCACCAGCATAGAGCGCAGGACTGAGAGCCGAAGTTTCACAGAGACAAAGTTTGATTATAAGGAAAAGGATGCAAACAGGCAGAGGTAGATCTGAGGGTGAAAATGCTAAATAAATAAATACTTTATTTATTTTACACATGTAGATTTTAGATAGAAAATGGTAGGAAAAATATGGGATAATTTAAATATGACATTTGGTTTCACCTAAGTATTCATAGTAAACGTGGCTCTGACTGATTTGCACTAGTAAGTCAAAAATGTTGGTGGAAGTTTGTCCGACCAGCACGTTGCAGTCATGAAAACGTGTTTGGAAAAACAGGTTTGACCTGCTCTTGTGGCAAAGGTGCTGACCAACACCTTCCTGTTCCTGTTAGCACGACTTTTCCAGGCAACTCTTTCACCCCATTAGCTGGTCTGGTGGAGCATTTTCTCAGCTGCACTGTGTAACATGACCAAACCTTCCCACTCGTCCAGAACAGATGCACAGTAAAACACTGAACTGTACTGGTACGAAATATGTGAAGGAGACCTGACTGCAATGAAATGTAAAACTCCACGAATTAAAAATGAATAGATAAAATCAACTCATATTCTGACAAGTTGTAACGACAGGCCCAAACCCGCTAAATGGTTTTCACACGCTAGAAAAGTTTGTTAGCCACAATGTTCCGCCCTCAGTCACATCGCTGCTCGTCACCAAGGCGAAACGTCAGAAAACAAGTTCTTGACTTGAGTCGGCAATGCGAAAGATTTGCCTTTCCTCTGTTTCTGTGCTGATTCCAGAAATACATAGGATATTTTCTGTTGCATATATACATTAAAGTGCTTTAAGGAAAATAATTGTGCATCAAATTGTGCATTTCAAAATAATCTGGGGCTCTGACGTTGTGCAGCTGGTTGACAGTAGGCGATTCTTTTCTGCTTCCCATCTACTAATCAACCCAACTTCACTTTGTTCAGCTCGTTTCCACTCTAAACAAAGATTACATTATTTTTTATCTTAACTTTTCTAATTAAATAATTACATGTATAAGTGATTGTCCTTTTAATCATATACTTAGTGTTTGCGTTTTTTTTTTTTTTTTTTGTCTTTGTTGAGGAATACAAAAGCCAAAGATCAGTACATTGTTTGAAATTCAGCTCATGTAATAACATGTGAGTAGCAGGGAAACTCGATGATTGACTGTGAAAACAGATGGGAGTGGATTTTACCCACAGCAACACATCTGCTGCAGATTTCACATTTGGATATCCACAAGGCAGGAAGCTCGAACAGAACCGCCCGACCATGAGAAGCACAACACAGCACTACCCTGTTTGAAACAGAGTTAATTTCATGGAAAAGGTTTGTTTCCACCCTCAGGAGGGCAACAGTGCTTCCATGTCAAACCAGTCGTCAGTTATCACATCCAGTGAAAGGACAAAGAACCCTAATCCCTGTCTAGTTTTGCATTAAGAGACACACTGTGCTTCAGCCTTTTTACATTTTGTCATGTTTTGACCACAAACCTATCAGAACCGTACACAGTTAGACACAAAATGTAGCAGAACTGTAAAGTGGAAGAAAAATGATACATGGTGTTCAAACCAGTAACAAAAATGCACTATGGGGCAGATTGTTGTTCGTAGTATTTCTACTCAATTTTCTGTAAAACCGCCGCTCTTGCTTATGTCGTTGCCAACTTTAAATGTGTAGATATCAAACTTGTGCCCATTCGTCTATGCATTTAGCTTCTGCCATGCTACCATTGACACAAACCAGCATCCCCACAACATAATGGTACCACCACCATGCTTCACAGTGGGGGTTGTATTAATTGACTGCCACACCTATGTTTATATGCAGGGCAAAAGTTCAGTTTTGGTCTCTTCCACCAGAAAACATTCCTCCACATGTTTGTTGTGTCCCCTTCTTTCGGCAAACTTTAGAGACTTCTCACGGATTTCCACTCCCCACTCCTCCATAAAAGCCAGATTTACCACTAATAGTTGTTCTGTCTACAGATGCTTTCTGAGCTATGGGTCTCTGATCTTCTCCAGATCAGACATCATAAATGTGTTCGGCTGCTTCTGCTTAACGTTCTCCTTATCTGACCAGTTGTCTTTTGGAAGGTTTGTAGGCTAGCCGTACTCGTTCACTTTTAAAGAAAGAGTCAAACACTGGTTCACTAGTTGTCTACTTCCAGCATCCAGACAGATATCTGTCAAACCTGGATTTATTAACTAATTGCATAACCACCTCAGTTTGTGTATAACTTGACAAAATGGGGGGGAAAAAAGTCACTGGTATGTGAATATTTTTGTGAAGCTCTACATCTAACAAACATTCACATTTTGTCTAAATTCACTTTGTAGCTTGAATATATTTGAAACAAAACATCTCCATTTGTCAGAGTAACTCCCTAGTGGGCACTTTGATATTTTTTACACCCGATACCATCCATTCAGTCACTGATGACTCATCTTCATCAGTGAAGATGAAGTCCACACCTTTGGTAGACAATGGGCTGGTCTAACAAGTGGTCATTAAAATCAAAACGACTTTCTGGACCCAAATAGTCAGGCTAACTGCTCTTCTTTTCATGTGTATGTTGACAAAGCCTCTCTGCCAGCTATCACCCAAAGTTAAGCCTCTAGCTTTGAATTAGAAAAGCCCAACAATCACCATTCTTCCCTTGACGGCCGGCTATTATTTGTCTGTTGTGTTTCCTTGCTGTGGGTGACTTTCAGCAAGGAATATGTCTCAGAGTCCCATGACTGCTCTCAGTCCACTCCCATCCATTTGACTCTTTACCCTTTAATAATAACCATTTCGAGGCTTTTCTTAAAATACATCCTGCTTGGACTTTGCCTCAACTCTGAGTTTATTCCAAATCTTTCTCTCTCTTTGTAAAACACTGAAAAGTAGAAAAAAAAATGAAAAAAGATGTTTGAAAATGCACCACTTTCGAGTTGAAAATGGTTTGACAGTAGCACTTTCAGCTTATCAAAGCTGTTGTTCGGTGCTTTTAGTTTGTCAGAAATGAATAAACGCTCAATTATTTGCAGATTTCTGAGGAAGTTTTAAAATTTAAGAAGTTTTGCATTCTCAACTCATCCAACATTGTTGGCATATCCATCATTGCCAGATGCTTTCTACATTTAGCGTGAGAGAGGGTGAGAACAGTCACAGTGAGCGCCGGTTACTTCTAGCTTGTTGCTCCTTGTTCACAGTTGGTAACTTTTGTAAAACTTTGAAGTCCGTGTGACGTCAAATGAGTCATTAGTACACTGATTTACTTAACTGTGCTAAGAAATGTACAATGCTTAGATATTGTCTAATAAAGCTCATAGTCATGTGTTAATACATGTATCTTCCAATCAGAGCTCGTTTTTAAATATTTTGAAGCTAATTATTTTGTTTGTGGATATGTATGCACATGTTTTTTTTCCCCTGATTGCTTGTTTTCTTGCTTTTAAAAACCTGTTTGAAATAAATCAAATCACATCAAAAATGTTGAATATGTCTGACTGGATTAAATTGGCTTTTTTTTTTTTTCTGAAGTTGCTTGAGACAATATGTGTTGTGAATATACCGAATTAAAAAAAACTGATGTGAATTCACTGCATAATAACCACCTGGTTCTGTTTATCAGTGCCGGGCGAGGAAATCAGAGGAGTTAATAAACGTCGCAGAAAATATAATATACTTTTGAGGATTTCCTAATTTAGCCAAAGCTTTTTCTATGATGTTTGTTTAAAACTCCTAGAAAAAGAGAAAGTCAGAAAATGGATCTGGTGATATATTAAAATAAAGTACGAATATAACTCTGCCAGGGGACTAACAGATGAAACAATGGTGCCTTGAAATAAAATCAAAGCAAACATTACAGCACATTTGACTTGACTTCAGTCTTTGGGTTGTTTTAACCACATTTTACAACCTGCTAGTTGGAAAAAAAACAATTAAATAGAAAAATTCATCTAAATATACAGTTAATTCTTCTTCACTTTTTACTTTTCAATTCTTTAACAGATAATTAACTGCACTGTTTGATAACTAGGATTGGATTGATTTGAATGGATTAAATTATCTATTCACAACAACGTCAATTATTGTGATTTGATGTTATATAAGTAAACATTTACAGACTTTAAGCTGA